TCGGCGGACACAACATCTTTGTTGATATGTGGTGCTGAGGATTGAACCCGGGCCGCACGCATGCCAGGCCAGCGAGATACCTCTTGAGCCACATCCCCAGCCCCTCTAAATGAGATTTTTAAAAATAAAAATTAGTTTGATATTAAAGAGCCATCAGAAAGTTTTTAAATGAGAAATTTTTTGGATTTTATGTTAGCATCTGATGGTGCTTTTATTCCCAACTGCTATTCATAGGTAATAAGAGTCTTTAAAAATGGAAATAGTTTCTTATTCTAGTAATAATTAGTTGAGCATGTCCTTGACCATATAAAATTACTATATGTTTACAAAACAGTGCTCATTTAGAAGTGCAGCTCACCAAGCTGGGTTTGATGGTATGCACATGCTATCCCAGTACTTTGAGGAGATGCTGTTATCTCTTATTGATGGGCTAAGATATAATTTTTACAAGTTGATGAAAAAAAGTTGATTTTTGAATAGTGTTTGTAAAATCACATTTGTTAACTCATTTTTATACAAAATAAAATGTAAGGTCTAACTTAAGTAAACTGCATACTTCTAAAATGTACAGATTGATGCTTTGATCTACATGTACATATTTTGACCACAAGCAAGACAACACGTGCATTGCTCCCAAGAGTTTTCTGGGTCCTTTGCTAATCCCTCCCTACCCCATGTTTGTTGACAGATTAGGATCATTACAGATAGAGCTGCTATGAATGTTTGTGTACAAATCTGGACTGGCATGATTTCATTTCTCTTTAGTGAGTACCTAGGAGAGCAGTGGCTAGAGTGTATGATAGGTGAACATTTTAATTTTTTTAAGATTGTCATATTTTGTTTTTCAAAGAGGTTGTATCATTTTATATTCCTGATAGCTATATAAGAGAGTACTAATTTCTTCACATTCTCACCAACACTTGGTATGGCAATTAATTTAAGCCATTCTAATAGATGGGTAGTGATGTTTCATTCTGGTAGTAAATTGCAGTTCCTACCACAAATATCTAATGATCATATTTTTCCATTATGGGTATTCAGTGATTGCAGTACTATTTTTTGAAGAGGTTGTCTCCACTGAATTGGCTTTGCCTGTGTATACACACACTCATACAAGTATACAATTGATTCTCAGTATTCATAGTTGTTCTATCAAGTACGTATGAACTTTGATGTACTGGATCCTGAACCATAACTCCTTTGATGGAGAAAAATATTAGGTTATCAGTAGCCCCTGGTGAGAGCATTTTTTGTCATCTAGGTTATGCATAACCTTATTTTGTGTGTGTTTTGTTTAAAGATACCTTATTTAGTATGTATTTTGATTAACATTAGACTCCTACCACTGTAACTCAGTCTTATTTGACATATATTTTCTTTTCTTTTTTTTTTTTTTTAAAGAGAGTGAGAGAGGAGAGAGAGAGAGAGAGAGTTTTTAATATTTATTTTTTTTTAGTTCTCGGCGGACACAACATCTTTGTTGGTATGTGGTGCTGAGGATCGAACCCGGGCCGCACGCATGCCAGGCGAGCGCGCTACCGCTTGAGCCACGTCCCCAGCCCGACATATATTTTCTCTATAAGGCACATTAGAACCTTATTGCACTTAGGAACATATTCAACACTTTAGTACTATGCTTTTAGGTAGCTACTACTTTTTTTTTTTAAATATTATTTTAGTTGTCAATGGATCTTTATTTTATTTATTTATATGTGGTGCTGAGTATTGAACCCAGTGTCTCATACATGCTAGGCAAGCGCTTTACCATTGAGCCACAACCCCAGCCCTTGGGTAACTTTAAACAGTGAAATTACTAATAAACAAATATAATGAAAATTCAGAAACGATGGCACTAAGTAGACTTCTTATATAAGAGCTGAAATAAGGCAGATGAAGCCTTGTTCAGATTTCTGGAAATGCTGGGCATTGGACAGCTTGCAGCTTTCATTTTCCCACACATGACTGAATAAGCACGAATGCTCACAGACAATAATTTTGGGGTTGCAAGTAAGTTTTAGCAAGTATGTGAATTCACAAATACATAGTCCATGAAGAATGAGGATGGTGAGTGTGTGGAAGGGGGTATAGACACAGTATGTCTGCTTCTGGACACTTTTCCTTGATGTTATAAAGTGAATTATTTCTAAATTGACTGTAGACTCTATGCAAACCAAAATCCCATCAGCCTTTTTCAGAGAAATTATCAAGCTGATTCTCAAGCTCAAATAGAGATGAAAAAGACATAAGAATGGTCAAAGTGACTTTGAAAAACAAAAATAAAAAAGTTCGACTAACATAGTCTGATTTCAAGCTTTTATCAAGCTGTTGTTAATCAAAACATTGTGATGACATCAAAATAGACAAAGAGATTAGTAGAACAGGATAGAGAATGTTATTGTTTTAATTTGCCAGAAATGTATTAATACTTTGTCTTTCCAAATTAATATGCTAATAAGGTTGTGGCATGGATGTTCCCCTTATTTTGACCTTTAATAATCTTACTCAGCTTTCAAAAGATGAACAAAAACTATAAGGACTCGGGCTGGGGATGTGGCTCAAGCGGTAGCGCGCTCGCCTGGCATGCGTGAGGCCCGGGTTCGATCCTCAGCACCACATACCAACAAAGATGTTGTGTCCGCCAAGAACTAAAAAATAAATATTAAAATTCTCTCTGTCTCCTCTCTCACTCTCTAAAAAAAAAAAAAAACTATAAGGACTAATACTGTGATTTCCCTCTTGGGTAAATCTGTCTTCTTATCTAATGGTTGCTTTTGTTTTCTAGGCAGGTCCGATCAGAAAACAAAGAAAAAAGTGCAGTGATGTCTTTTACGGTCACTGATGAACCTGTCTATATTGACTTGACTTTGTCAGAAAATAAAGAGGAGGTAAGTGGCTTGATTTTTGAGAATTGTTTTTGGATTTTATAAACTTTAGTCTTAAAGTATGGATGTGAGGGAGTAATAACAAAATGTAACCAAAATCTTAGACTGTGGAAGCAACATTACATCACTGTGATAAGTTCTTATAATTATGAGAAAGGGAAGGGGAAAGTTTGTGTACAAAGGTAGTATATATTTAAGTCATCATGTAAATTAACAAAAATTGTTGTATCAAATGCATTTTTTTGGTTATAAAACCTTATAGGTCCTAACTAAGATGTGTTTTGTTCCAAGAATGACATCCCATGGGCAAAGGGGCACATGTCTGTAATCCCAGTAACTTGGAAGTAGAGTTTGAGACCAGCCTGGGCAATTGAGTGACACTGTCTCAAAAAATAAAATGGGTTGGTGGTAGCTCACTGGTAGAGCTTCCCTTGATTCAATCCCCAGTAACAGAGGGTGGGGAAACCACATTATTCTGTTTGATGCTTTTTTATATTTTAGAATTTTCAGCATTAAATAAATATGGCTTTACTGAAGTTCTTCATGTTCATGTGTCTGTTTGACTAAAGCTGGGTAAAATTTTGATTTGGGCAGAATCTTTGAATATTTTTTTTTTTAAGACAGTTTTAGGATATTTCATAACAGAGGTTTGGAAATTTGTATGTTGCAAACCCTTAGGGATTTAGAGATGATTTAGAAATTTTTCATCTTGTTTTAATATGTTTGAAAAGTACTGTAGTGGAATGAGCATTGGTTTAAAAATTTAAGAGACTGGTTTAGATATCGATTCTGCTGTTAGCAAACTCAGGGTTTTTCTTTGTGTGTTTTTTTTTTTTTTTTTTCCTTTTCCTTTGAGGGGGCTGGGGGGCTTGCCCAGGCTGGCCTCTAATGCTGAATCTTCTTGTCTCAGTCCCTGAAATGTCTGGACATGAGTGCATGTTTCTGTGTTGGCATACAAGCTTGGCTTTATAATGGAAGTGTGGGGATGTTGATCAGTGATTGACTATAAGGAATTCTGTCTTTTAGGATCCAGTTCAGATAGTGAGGAGATAACACGGTTATTTTAAGTATTTTTAGAAGACTATCCTAGGAATCCAACGTGTAACCATTATATACTTTATAAAGTCATAGGTTTGAGAACATTTGGTGTGATTGGTGTACTATCTCATGTTTATTATAGAAGTTTTGATCATAGGAAAGTATTAAAATGAGAAACACTTTGGTATTTATTCCCACGTTATTAAACAAAATCACTTGCCAAAAAGTTTAAAACGTGTGTGTATGGTTTTTTAGTGGTAGATACTTTGAATCTAAATTCTAGTAACTTCTATAATAAGAGAAATCATGCTCAATAACTTTAGAAAATGGACTGTATTTTTGCTTTCTTATTTTGTGACCAAATTCTTTTGCTACATTTAGATTTAATTTTTTTTATCTAATAATAATACTGGCACTATACTTAAAATTGTCAATAATAAAATAGGACTTTTTAAAAAAGGTGATGGCACAAGAAGCTAATTCTGACAAGTGTCAGCTAATTTTGACTTTAATAAAATTGTAGTTATATTAATTTAAAGTAAAATTCCAAAACAAAACCTCAATTCTAATACTGCCCAATATTTTACTTGTGTATCTGACAGTAACACAGATTGTTCCTTTGCCAGAGGTGATCATTTTTAAGTTGATCCTCTCTGTTCTTTTCCTCTGATTATTTAAAAGGATGGGAAGAAAATTGAGTTTTCATGGATTGGGGAGTGACGCATATTATTCACTGAGTTAATCGGCTATATTTTTCTTTTAGCCTGTCAAGTTAGCTGTTGTTTGCAGAGATGGTCAGGTCCATCTTTTTGAACACATATTAAATGGGTAAGTAAGAAGTTTTCCTGGTCAGAAATTTGTTTTCCTGTTTATTTTTCGTATTTCCACCTCATATTCTTTCATTATATTACAGCTCATTTAGTTTATTTATATTAATACAGTAAGAACCCAACTTTTTGGAGTTATGGACCATTTTATTTTAATTTTTGTGTGTGTGGTTAGGAGAGTGACTTTTAAAATACAAGTATAGGGATTTAACTATAGACCATTATAAAAGTAGTATGTACTCACTTTCAAACATTCAAGAAACTTGAATCTTCCTCCATTGAGTTCTCCTAGGGCTATCCGTAAACATAGTGTGTAGCCCTTGAGACTTATTTACATAGTAGTGTGTACATGGAATGTATAATTGACGCCTAAAGGAACTGGGACCCAGAGATAATGAGCCCTGTGAGGACTTGGATATTTCTTCTTGGGTACTGGTAAGCTGTTGAAGGGCTTTAAGTGGAGCATTGATGGGATTTGATCTAAATTTTGAGGCAGTCATTCTGTGTGATATGCTGGAAATAGCCTAAAGAGAGGTAAGGGCCAAAGCAGAGATGCAAATTCTTGGTTTCTAGGTATAGTTGTGAAGTTATTATACTTGAAGGAGTAAGTTGGAAAGACAGCTTTAAGTTTAAATGATAGAGGGGGGTGCACTTAAGGAATAAGTGATAATATATCTAAGGTGTGAGGAATGTGTGACTGAAATACAATGAAGGGTACAATCATTGGAGGTAGGAACTGAGATACCAGTGTATTATTAGAAGTCTCTTCAGCCTGAACATGAAATATGGCAACTACCAAGAAAGGAATTCATTAGGGAGCAGTGTAAACCACTGAAATCTTCCAGAAATATAGGGGAGTAACCCAGAGGTGGCATCAGGAAGAGTGTTGCTGACAACATTTGAAAGTTTTCCGGTGAAAGAGGGAGATAACTATAGTTTTGAAGTGTCAGTGGAGAACGAGGAGCACACATAAATCAGATCTTACTAAGGTCTCTGGCACAAGGGTGTGGGAGAGAAAACAGCTACAACTTGAGAGGGTTGCAAGGATGAGCCAGGGAAGAGAAGGTTAAAAATGTCCTTAGATATGGAAGACATAATTTTGTTTCTGGAGTTATATTGCAGAGGTCATGGTGAGGCTTCTAGGGGTTGGGAACTGTTGGAGATGGGACTGGCTGGAAGATAGAATATGTGTAAGGGCTGAAGTGAGGGGCAGGTTGGAGCAGGTGAGAAGTCATTTGGGAGCTTACGGAGTCCTTTTCTTTTGGTACTGGGGATTGTACTCAGGGAAACTTAACCATTGAGTTATATCCCCATGTCTAAAAAATTTGAAATAGGCTCTCACTAAGTTGCTGAGGCTAGTCTTGAACTTGGAATTCTCTTGCCTTGGCTTCCTAGTTGTTGGGATTACAGGCATGTGGTATTGTGCCTGCCTGGGGCCTCCTTTTGGGGCTTTCCTGGGTCCTGACAGAGTGGGGCAGAGGGGCAGGTGTGTTTCAAGGCCAGTTTTAGCATGGAGGTGTTGGTGGGGGCAGGTGAAATCTTGAAAGGCATACTTGTGCTTCAGGTAGTGATGGTAGTGTGGAGGTTAGAGCAGGGTTACTTTACATGACTAGGTGCCAGCTTCAGAGAATTAGTAAGAGGTGTTGTTTGAAATTCTCTAATCTTAATATTTTTTTTCCCTATTCCTAGACACTGCAAAAAGCCTTTGACTTCAAACTGTACAATTCAGATAACAACACCTGGGAAAGGCAAGAAATCAACACCAAAACCCATCCCTATTCTAGCAGCTGGCTTTTGCCCAGACAAAATGTCATTGTTGCTTGTATATGGCAATTGGTTTCAGCCTACTATTGAGCGAGTGGTACGTAGATGCTACTCTGGAGAAAAACAATATGGCATCAACCCATCCTTGGGAAAGAGGAATTTTTTTTTTTTTATTTTTTAAGAACACATTGGCTACTCATTGGAATACTTAAGGAGAAATAGGACCTTTCACTGGGTGGTTTATTTTAATTTGTAAGAACTTTGTGTTCTATTCAGCCCAGTATACCTAAAATAACATTTTCATATTTACTTGATATAAAGCATTGTTTTGAAATATTTAATGTTGTTTTACACTTCCCTCTTTTGGCATTTTGTCTTCTGGTGTGCATATTATTTTACATTTATACATCTCAGTTGGGATTAGCTTTCTCTTAGTGCTTAGGAGCCTCATGTTCCTATTGTTGTTGTTTTGGTTAAAACAGGTATGACTTGTGTTGAATTTTGCCTAGTTACATAAAATGGAAATCTTCATAAGAGCCCTTTTTGATAACACCCATTGTATTTTCTAAGTGGGATTGCAGTGGGCAGTGCAGTGATGTAACATTTTTTACTACAGAAGTTTCTTCGAACACTTGTGAATTATTGGCATGTCCATATAGGTGATTACTTGAGCTTGTATTTTTAGTACTTAATAAGGCCCTCAGGGAAACTATGAGTGGAATAATGCATGGCCACCATTTGTTGAGTTAAAAAGTATCTTTTTCGCTGGGTATGGTGGTGCACACCTGTAATCCTCGCAGATTGGGAGACTGAGGCAGGAGGATCAAGAGTTCAAAGCCAGCCTCAGCAAAAGTGAGGTGCTAAGCAACTCAGTGAGACCCTTTCTCTAAAAAGAAAATAAAAAAAAAAAGAAAAAGAAAAAAAGGGCTAGGGATGTAGCTCGGTGGTCGAATGTCCCTGAGTTCAATCCCTAGTATCCCCCATCTGCAGAAAAAAATAGAATACCCTTTTTCACCATTATTTTTTTCCTTTGGTGCTGGAAATTAAATCCAGGTCTTCATGCATCTACCATGGAGTCACGTCTCCAGCCCACTGAATACGTTTTAAAAAAAACCTAATGCATAGATTTAAAAATAAAAATCTTCTGGGTGTGGTGGCACGTGCTTGTAATCCCAGCACTCAGGAGACTGAGGCAGGAGAATTGAAAGTTTGAGACCTACCTGGGCAACCTAATGAGACATTGCCTCAAAAACTTTAAAAAAAAAAAAAAAGTGCTGGGGATGTAATTCAGTGGTGGAGCACCCCTGAGTTAGATCCCAGGTACTGCCAAAAAGAATGAAGAAGAAAAAAGTCCATTTGCTCCTTTAAATTATGAATGTAAAAAATTCTGCAGTGTCTTAGGAGTTTACCCATTTCCCCAGTTGCTGTAAGAGTGGTGATTGTGGCCAACATTTTTAGTGAGGAAGCCTTCCACACTAATTTTTTTATTTTTAGAAAATGCACAATTAATCATTGTTTGTCATTTTGTTCTTATTCCCAATTGCTTTGTTTGACATTCTTTTCTCTTCCCTCCATCTCCCTTTTAAAAAATATTCCTAGGCTTTAAACTCCAAAGAAACTCATATGTGTTTAGTAAGAGATATTTCAAACTGCTGGGCCCCAAAAGTAGAAACAGCCATAACAAAGGTAAGTACATTCCACATTCCAAGTAAATTAAGTAAAAATTACATTTGGGGGGGAATTGTTCTGTAGTATTAAACTTCATTTATCTTTTTAATTCTGTACTTTGTGATCTTGCCTTAAAAATTTTGTGTGATTACAATTTTAGATACCAAGATTATAAAACTTCATTTAGGTGCTCTTGATTTGTTGACTGAGAGAATGGTTGGCTGGTTAGAATTAAAAACCTTGGGTTTAGTTCTTTCTTGCCCAGGAATATGATCATCAGGACAGGGAATACATAGCAGTGAATATTAACTTTGTTAATGAATGGTTCTCAGTCTCAGTACTTAAAAAAAAATCTTTGTTGAGAAGAATATTGTGTTTTAGGGTGCACTAAAACCACAATGAGGCTAAAATTTATTCCCACACATAAAGAGCATCATTGTGGTGCTGTGCTTTGAATATAACTAACTTGGTTAACTTGGTGTCTACATGTAAATGTCATGTATTTAACAGTTTAAGGGGAATGGGAAAACCCAGACATGCTATGATGACAACCACATGGTTTCGCTTCTGGCTGAGTTTCAGAGATGACACTTTTCTCTTGGCTGTCTGAGCATTTCTGGCAAAGATTGATTTTTGGAGGTGGTTATAAAATGTATAAGTTTGCTCTTTAACATTTTTAAATCAGTGTGTCCTTGGGTAATCTGTAGGTTTTGCTTCTTATTTTTTATTCCTTCATTTTGAGGGGGATGACTGGGGATTAACTCAGGGCACTTTATCATTCAGTTACATCCCCAGTCCTTTTTATATTTTATTTTGAGATAGGTTCTCACTTAGTTGCTGAGAGCCTCACTGATTTGCTGAGGCTGGCCTTGATCTTCTGATCCTCCTTTCTCAGCCTCCTGATTCATTGAGATTATAGGCTTGCTCCACCATGCCCGCTGTTTTTCACTTTTAACAAAGTCTCAGAAGTTTTAAAGCCATGTATTCTCATGTTATTATGTTAAAACTTAATTTGCCAACATTCAGTTAAAATTTACCTTGTATTCCTATCATGGCAATTAGATTACGTTGAGTTTTTCAATAGAAAAGCCTTTTGAAGAGTTTTGTTTTCTCATTGAGGAACCGTAATGAGTAAGGCATAATTTCCTTCTATACATTCCCAAAACTGTGTTTAACAGGTGAGAACACCAGTGATGAATTCTGAAGCAAAAGTTCTGGTGCCTGGGATTCCTGGGCATCATGCTGCTATCAGACCTCCTCCACCAACCAAGGAAGTAGAGACCAAGAGGAAATTAGGAGGAAATGAGGTACTGCAACCCCTTTGACCAGATACTTGAGTTTGAGATTTAAGAGTGCTTGGGAGAGTGTAATAAGTATATTGAATAATGCTAAAGCTGAATCTTTATAAGAAATGCCCTAAGTTTGTTGCTGTTCTATGTTCCTCCCAGGCAGCTTAGGTCCCCAAATTCTAGATTGTCACCTTTATAAGACTTGACTTGGTCACTGTTAAGAGAAAGTGGAATTTTTTTAAATTAAATTTTGGCCATTTGTTAATAATTAACAGGATAATATAAAATTGAATAAGCCAGGACTTGCTGTGATGATTTTCATTGGGTTTCGCATATTGCTGAGTTCCAGTGATGCCTCTTTTCTCTTGGCTGTCTGAGCAATCCTGGCTGGTTTCGTGCCAGTTGGTCTTTAAAAATGGTCATTGTAATTGCTTAAAATGTTTATAAATGTTATTATTTTTTTCACTCTCAAAACCCTTTTTAGTTATTGTACTTAATCTCTGCAGAGTTCTCCTCTTCATCTTTCATTCACATACTTCACTTTTGTCTAAGTAATCTAGAATTTTATCAATTCTTTAGCTGGAGGGGTTGGAGGTAACCTAGCTGTTCATAAACATAATTCCTTAGTAGTGTGATATCTGGCCTTAAATAAAAGTTGAGCTTTCTTTAGCCTGGCCTAGATTCATTTCTTTAATATCCTTCCTTTTTAATGTTTTCCATATGTTGGGATAGATCAAGTAGGAAGCTTTCCAGAGCACATCTGTTTGCTTTGTTTGTCATAGAACAGATTTATATCTTCACTTTGCTACCAAGGAGCTGGCAAATTATGGTTTTAGTCAGGGATCAGTTCTTTCAATTGGGTCTTTGTATCATAGTCATGTATGTTTAAATTAAGAAATATTATCAAGAACACTTGTCTGTAGTAAAGCATATAGCTAATAAAAACATCTAGCTAATAAAACATTTGGAATCATTAAAAAATAGGAAGACATTTTATGAATTGTTTTGAGTGCATAAGCACGCTCTGTTGATAATTTTTTTTCTTCCTTTTACAGATCTGAAGTTTTTGCCAAGAGATAGTTAGATTGGGGGTAATGGGTTGTTTCTTTTGCTTTAGTAATCAGATGCCAGCTCCTTAACTCTGTTGAATCTTCCATAGTGGTATTCTGTGAATTAACATTTTCAAATCATGCTTCTTTGGCATTCATATTTTTTGTTAGCTTATGGAAACTTGAATTGAAGATGTTTCACTTGTCTTCCATGTAGTCCTTGTGGTAGTGAGATTCCATTTGAATAAAAATGAACATGTTTGGGTTTTTTTGGGTTGAAATGATTCCTTTTTTTTTTTTACTTTTTTACAGGGATATATTAACTCAAGGGAATGGGGTTGTGGCTCAGCAGTAGAGCGCTTGCCTAGCACGTGCAAAGCCCTGGGTTCGATCCTCATCACCACATAAAAATAAATAAATAAAATAAAGGTATTGTGTCAACTACAACTAAAAAAAATATCTATGTAAAAAACGTCAAAATTGTTTTTATTATTATTTTATAAGTTAAAAATGAAAAATAATAGATCCGTTAAACATTAAAGAATTCTTATTAATGTTAATATGAGAGAAGGAAAAGAAAAAAGACAGTAAATCAGTTGAGTGTGTTTTTGTCTCTCAACTATGTCTTTTTATTAAATTATTTAAAATTTTTTTAAAAGTTGTAGATGTGCACGATACCTTTGTTTAATTTATTTATTTTTATGTGATGCTGAGGATCAAACACAGTGCCTCACACATGCCAGGCAAGCTGCAGTCCCAGCCCTATATTAAGTCTTCTGATTGATCTTAATAGGTTGTTTCTGTTCTGTAGGTTAGCATTGAAGAACGTCTGGGAGCAATGGATATAGATACAAAAGAAGAAAAAGATGACCTTTTGCAGACGAATAGCTTTCCAGTTCTTCTCACACAGGGTTTAGAAAGTAATGATTTCGAAATGCTAAATGTAAGTATTTTAGCAGTGTTTCAATGAATTAAATTTTTAGTTTTTCCTAGAAAGTGATACAGCACATGACAGTGAATAATCATGTTGTATAGCAGTTTGTAATTAATATTTTGTGAGTTTAGTCAAATGTATATAATATGGGGACATTATACAGACAGTCACTAACCTACAGTGGTTTTGTGTTGAATTCCTTTAAACCTGGAATGCATTTTCTCATAGAAATATTGTTCTGAATTGTTAGTTTTTAGGCTTTAGTTTACAAAAGCCTTTATAAAAATAGCGTAGCTGAATTATAATACTCAGCATTCTAGATCACAATTTATATTTTTTTCTGTAGGAAAATGCGTTCCTGAGTTTTTACTCTGGATTCCAGAAACTTATTTCCCCCTGGCCGTGAGAGGGGGCGGTGAGGTGGAACCTTGACAATGGGTAGGAGGTTTGGGGGGAAATTCAAGAGGGTTGGGGGATATGTTGTAAAATATATGAAGGCAAAAGTACTAAAAATTATATGAAAGTAGGCATTTATGACTTCTGTGGAAGTTGGTGACTGCTTGTATGAAGTTACTCAATTTAATCCTCTTGAATTTCATAACGTGGTAGTGCTCTATATAGAATATTTAATTGTGACATGCATTCTCAATGATTCAGCAGCATCATAGTTTCAGTCATAGTTGTATAATTTGTAATCTATGAATAATGTCTTTGATTTTATTTCTAAGTGGTAATATATTTGTATCTAAAGGAGGTTTTTACAAAATGAGAGGAAATTAGCAAGTCTAAAAACCTCAAATTACTTTTAAAGAAGTTTTAGAAGGTGGATTTTAGTTTACTGTGGCAAAACAACAACGGCAACAACAACAAAAAACACCTAGGTGAGGATTTTATAAGAAAGAAGCTGTAGAAAACAATTGACAGTATTTTTGAAACGTAATATAACTTGCCTGTCATCATTGCCTATGTAACTATGCTTTGAAACATTCCTCAGTGGGTGAATCAGGTACAAAGTTTTTTTCTTTTTTTACTAAGAAACATTTCAAACTTTTTTTTTTTTTTTTGGTGGTATTGGGGATTGAACCCAGGGCCTTGTGCATGCAAGGCAAGCACTCTACCAAATGAGCTATTTCCCCAGCCCTCAAACTTTTTGAGTAAAGTGAATCGCCATCATTCAGTTTTATCAACACTGGCCAATCTCTTATGGTTCATTTACCTCTCTATCCCCTCAGGTTATAGTGAAACAGATCTCAGAAGTGATCAAATGCCATTTCATTCATAGATACTTACCTATTCATATTAAAAACAGCTATAGTCCATTGCTTAAAAAAATAAGCACAGTCCATTATCATGTCTAAAAAAGTAAACAGTAATTCTTTAAAATTATCAAATGTAATTAGTGTTTGAATTTTGCTTTCTTTAAACAGGATCTCAACAAATTATATCCTGTACTTTGTTGTTATGTCTGTTCTGTGTTTTGTAATTTACTTTTTGGAGACTCTAGACAATTTGTCTAATAGGGAGTCCCATGTTCTAGACTTTTTTTTTTAAATACTCGTTTTTCTACCCATATTAAAGAATTTTTTTATAGTTGTAAATGGACAGCATGCCTTTATTTTTAATTTATTTATCTATTTATCTATCTATCTATCGAACCCAGTGGCTCTTAAAAGCTAGGCAAACTCTCTACCACTGAGCTACAGCCCCAGTCCTCATGTTCTGGATTTTGCCTACTCTCCCTCTGTGGTATCCTTTAGTATGTTCCTTTGTCCATCTTGTTTCCTGAATACTGGTAGTTAGAGCTAGAAACTTAAAGACATTTAGTATCAAATCTCTTTTAGCAAGAGCTTCTCAAAGGTGTTAATATGTAACTTTTACCAGATATCATAGGGTTGTTTGAAAGACAAATGCTGTTTTCAAATTATAAAGGTTTTTGTATTACTAGGTAGAAGCAATTGGAAATTAGTTGAATAAATTATGTGCTTGAAAAGATTGTAAAAGTTACAGTGAAGCGCTTTTAAAATAACCTGTTTTAGAAGTGAGAAGTAAGCCAGCTGTGGTGGAGCATGCCTGTAATCCCAGCAATTGGAGAGGCTGAGATAGGAGGATTGTAAATTCATGGCCAATCTTAAGCAAATTAGGGAGACTATGTCTCAAGATTTTAAAAAATAAATAAGAAGGGTTGTGGGTATAGCTCAGTAACAGAGTGCCCCTGGGTTCAATCCCCAATAGGCCCCCATCCCCTCCAAAATGTTCAAAGTAATGGTAATAGTATATTACCTGGACATTATGCATTGTGCGAGCCTTGGTGATGCATGCCTATAATCCCAGCTACTAGGGAGGTTGAGACAGGATTGCAAGGTCATGACCAGCCTTAGCAATTTAGTGAGGCCCTGTCTCAAAAAATTAAAAAGTTAAAAATGACTGGGGATATGGTTCAGTGGTAAAGTGCCTCTGCATTCAATTCCTCATACCAAAACGGGGGGTGGGAGGCAAGTAAAAACAATGTTTTCTCCCACATAAAATAACTTTACCAGAAGCTGCCTTACAAAGATACATGATGCATAGGAGGACATTAAAAATAGGAATAAGGAAAGTGAGCAAGGACAGGGATATTTATTTAATTTATTTAAATTAAATAAATATTCAAATCTAGTTTATTAAATCAATATTACTTAAATATTTTCTAGGGCCTGGGATTATGGCTCAGTGGCAGAGTGCTTGCCTTGCATATGTGAGGCACTGGGTTCGATCCTCAGCACCACATAAAAATAAATGAATAACATAAAGGTATTGTGTTCATCTACAACTATAAATAAATGAATAAATAAATAAAAATAAATATTTTCTAAGGTTTAAGTGAAGTCTAGAACAGATCTAAAACAGATTAAAATTAAAACATTAAAATCACAATGGATGCAAGAAATTAATTAAAATGGAACCCTGCTTAATTGAGTATTGAATCTAGGGGTGCTATACCACTGAGTTATACCCCCATTCCATTTTTTATTTTGGGATATGGTCTCATTAAATTGCCAGGCTGGTCCTGACGTAGCCTTCCAAATTAGATTACAAGCTTTGTGCCACTATACCTGGCTCAGACTTAAGTAACTGGAGGTCTAACCCATGTTTTTTTATAAGTTAGAATATTCAGTATTGTTATGATGGTGAATCTCCCCCAATCAATCTATATATTCAACCCATTCTCAATTAAAATTTCAGAAGTCCCTGTCAGTCATCTTTTAGAAATTGACAAAACTGGTCTTGAAATTTATAGGAAACACAAAGGATGTGAAATCACCAGAACTATATAACTAAGGTTGGAAGAATTACCCTACCTGGTTTTATGATAAAGGTATATGATCAATATAGTTTAATATTGGTGAAAAATATAGATTAAGGGACAAAAACACTCCACAAATAAACTACACACATTGGGGGGGGGAACCTATTAGCTTTGTTTCATATATCACGTAAGAATTAATGGAAAGTAGACCATAGGCCTAAATATAAAACTTAAAACTAAACTTCTAGAGGAAAATAAGGAGCTATCTAAGGTATATCATGAAAAGCATGAAAGGTTAAAGAAAAAATTGGTCGCTGGGGTCAGTGGTGCATGCCTATAATCCTAGTAGTTTGGGAGGCTGGGGCAGGAGCATCACGAATTTAAAGCCAGTCTCAGCAAAAGTGAGGTGCTAAGCAACTCGGTGACATCCTGTCTCTAAATAAAATACAGAATAGGGCTGGAAATGTGGGTCAGTGGTCGAGTGCCCCTGAATTCAACCCCTGGTAACCTCTTACTACATCACCACTATTCCCTTCCCCGCCAAAAAAGGGAAAAAAATTGAAAAAAAAAAAAAAAGATAACTTGGACTTCTTGAAAATTACAAACCTTTTCTCTTGAAAAGATAATGATAGAGTCATGAAAAGAACCTGTAAGCTGGCAAAAATATTTGAAACTTGTATCAGACAAAGGTGTATCTAGATCATTGAAAGAACTAAAAAATAAGACTTTACTCAAGAAAAAATAAAAAAAATTGGTAAAGATTTGAATACTTTACAGAAGAATTCCAACAAATAATAAGTATGCATGAAAGTATATATATATTACTAATCACAGAAATGTAAATGATTACCATAAATAACAGTACATATCTGGTATAGGATGTTGAAAATTAAAAGATAGTGTAGTATAGTGGAGAATGTAGAGTAGCTCACACACTTTTTGCTTTTGGGAATATAAAATTATACAGCTACTTTGGAAAACAGCTTGGCAGTTTGTTTATTTATCTATTTATTTTTACCTGGGATTGAACTCAGGGGCACAGGACCACTGAGCCACATCCCCAGCCTTATTTTGTATTTTATTTAGGGATCTGGTCTCACTAAGTTGTTCAGAGCTTCATAGTTGCTGAGCCTGGCTTTGAACTCATGATACTCTTCAACCAGAGCCGCTGGGATTACAGGAGTGCACCACTGCACCTGACTAGTTTGGCAGTTTATTAAAAATTAAAAATAGACCTACTAAATGATCCAGTCATTCTGCTCCTGGGTATTTTATCAAGAGAATAACACATTGCCTCTAACCTTGATTTGCCAAATTCAGTTGGTTGTTTATTGCCCAGATTTATTTTAAATCATTTTTGTAGACAATTTTTCCTGTATTCTCCTTAGTTTCTTATATTATAGTTACATTGTTGATACTTTTATTTTTTTCCACAGAAAGTACTCCAAACTAGGAATTTAAACCTGATAAAGAAGACTGTGTTAAGGATACCCTTGCATGCTGTTATTCCATTGTTGCAAGAGGTAACTGCTTCTTTTTTCATTTTAAGATCCTAATCCTTTGAATTAAAGGGAAATGCCAGTGTCTAGAGAAGTGGATTTGTGATCCTTACTCAAGGATGCATGGCATTTAGAGAGGGAGTGACGGATGAATTGGAGGAAAGTGCTTTCTTTGGAAGGGTGAAAAAAAAAGGGTGAAATTGAATTTATAAGCCAATAAAAGGAAATACAATGGACATTTTTACCTTTATTCCATTAGCAGGGAGTATGTATCTCTTTACCTAGAATGCAGTTGCAAGTTTAAGGTGAACCATACAATGCTGTTTGTACAGAAGATCACTGCATGGCGTGATTATAATAGAAACCCACATTTGGTTTTTCCCATTATTTCCTATAAGGAGCTCTGACCTCACTTGAAATGATTTTTGGATATGTTTTGATTTGCTTTAGTGCAGTTGGGGTGTTAATCTTTATGCCTGTCGGTGTGGAATTAAAAGAGCATAACAATGATCTGGTTCAGCCTCAGGCCTATACAAGACTAACTTTCACTGTCTCCGACAAGCAGTTGCCCCGTCTTTGCTTAAGTAAGTTTATTTAACAGTGTTAAGAAAGGATAGGTAGCAGTTAGACAGAAGAAGCCAGGAGCAAGGGAGTGGTGGAGAACAGAAAGCCTTGAGTGGTACCAAGGACTAAATAACTCCAGCTCAGGCAAATCCCAGGTTTGGAGCCATTTGGATACCTTAGGTGCATCGCATTCAACAGAATTCCAATAATTTGGTAACCATTATTACCTTAAGGAAAATCTTTTTCTTGGTTTCTTTTAAAAGCATACATAATTGTATTGAAGGCTTAAAGAGTGGGTACAAATTATTAAAAAGTATATCTAAAGATAAAGTCTGTTCTTTGTTATTAGTAATTATGCTGTTTGCTTAACATGTTGAAGTGTATTGAAGGCTTAAAGAGTGGGTACAAATTATTAAAAAGTATATCTAAAGATAAAGTCTGTTCTTTGTAATCAGTAATTATGCTATTTGCTTAACATGTTGAAGTGCTTTGTGAGAGTGAGAGTGGTTTTGTTATTATTGTGGGAGTAAGGTTTACCATTATTTAAATTCACTCTGTATTTAAAAATGCAGTATAAGGCCAGGCGCAGTGGCGCACACCTGTGATCCTAGTGGCTTGGGAGGCAGAGACAGGAGGATTGCGAATTCAGAGTTAGCCTCAGCAACGTAGTGAGGACCTAAGCAACTCAGCAATAACCTGTCTCTAAATAAAATATAAAGAGGGATAGGAATGTGTCTCAATGGTTCATTGCCCCTGGGTTCAATCTTTTGTACCAACACAAATAAATATGCAGTATCATATATTAGAAAAGTTCATATGCTTTTTGACTATTAATCAACTCCAAGGCAAAATTTGCCTGACCCTGATTTTTTTTGTGTATTTAAAAAATTGAGATAAAATTCACCTATTTAAGGTGAACAGTTTAGTGAATTTTAATACGTTCATAGGTCGTGCAGTTGGCATCCCCCAAAAAATTCTGTACTCAGTAGTAACTCTACTTCCCCTTTCCCCAGTTATTGTCAATCATCGAGTTTATTTACTGTCTCCATGTATTTGTCTATTCTGGACGTTGATTCATATAAATCCAGTTCTAGATTTCTTTAGGTAATTACTCTTGTGGGAACAATTCAAAGTTGATTGAAGATAGACTACTGAATGAAATAATTTTCAGCTCTTGTTGTACACTGGGAACTAATGAAGATTGTAGCCTCTGAAGTGCTGTTGCTAATAATGTTTTTCTCTTCCTTAGCTTACAAAGAGGTTGCAAGGACATCCTAATAGGTAAGATGTTTAGATGACTAAATTGCCTTTTTTTAAAATAAATTAGAGATTATTGTTAAAAACAGCAATATCTGAAAGTGTTAAATAGTATTAGGTAACCCCATATTCTAACGGTAGAATTCTTCAAAATGTTGGGGCTGGGGTTGTGTTTCAGCAGTAGAGTGCTTACCTAGCACGTGTGAGGTGCTAGGTTTGATCCTCAGCTCCACAAATAAATAAATAAATAAAATGAAGGTATTTATTTATACAACTAAAAAATTTTTTTTACAAAGGTTAAATGTCACTCTTCCCCCATTTTAGATTAAATGATTTTATTTCTAAGATTTTATTACAGTTTTTTTTTTCTTTGAGAAAGCTCCTATGTAGATCAGATTTTATTAGGTCATTTAATGAGTTAGACTCATTTAATGAGTTAGTCTTAATCACTGTATGTAAAATTGACAATTTATAGAATTTGCCCAACCTCTAGTAGGTGTGTAAGAGACCATAAAGAAATGTCTTAGGACTCGGGATGTGGCTCAGAGGTAGAGCACTTGCTAGTGTGTGTGAGGCCCTGGAGTCAATTCCCAGTACTACCATACACACACACACACACACACACACACAAAATTTAGCTAAAAGACTAAATTTGTAGTCTTAAGATTGTAGCATGCTATCATTGCTATGTATATTGTATGGCTTTTCTTTTTTGATTATTTTCTGTTACCTTTCTGAGCTCACAAAAGAGGAAAGCTAAAGAACTCATGAAATAGAACTGGCTCTCACAATTTAGGTCTATATTTATTTGCCTTTTAATATTGGTGTAGAAGACTTTGCTGTTTGCTTTTGAAGGTGAATATCAGATGGTGGGTTTGGATATCATGAACATAAAATGCCAAATCGGTTAAGCTCAGTTTGGATGAAGATTATTGTTGTAGTATCAGTTAATTTGAAGTAAAGCATAGGTTTTATTTTGAAGTTGTTTTGGAGGGACTGATTTTTGTCTTATTTTTCCAGTCCCTACTCTAGGAAGTTAGTGTTTTTCAGGAATCTCAAACTCAGTGAAAAATACAACATGAATATTAAATGCATAGTTGTTTATTTATTTATTTATTTATGATTTGCTAGCAGAGAAATAATATAGTGAAGTAAGTCCTCAAAGCCTGCACTTCTAACTGCCAAGGGGAATACAGGACTTTTAAAAGAAGATAAAATGACTGTTTTCCAATTTCATTAAGTATAATTAATTTTTAACTTGCATTCTTTTAAAATATACTTTTAGTTGTAGATGGACACAATACCTTTGTTTTATTTTTTTATATATTTTTATGTGGTGCTGAGGATTGAACCCAGTGCCTCATACGTGTTAGGCAAGTGCTCTACCACTGAGCCACAACCCCAGTCCCTCAACTTGTATTCTTGAGAGAGCCATTGCTTCAGTTTCTAGGTCCAGAGTTTCTTTATTCTTATGGGCAGGGAGTTGTTGGTTTCTCTGCTGTACAGTCATGACCTTGTATGATGAAGATAGTAAGAGCCACAAAACCTTCCTGAGGAGAGAATTTTGCCTGCCTTCAGACTCCAGCTGCAAGGTCAACTCTTCCCTCCGCCTCCAGCCTGCCAGCCCACCTTCCAGACATCAGACTCCCAAGCCTCCACAGTCACATGAGCAAATCCCTTAAAGCCTCCTTCTTGATTCCGTTTCTCTGAAAACCAGTTTCAGAGGTCTTAGTCCATAGAAAGCCAGCTCCATTCCTCAGGGCTCAAGGTGAAGCAGAACATCATGGAGGAAGAGTGTGGCAGAGGGAAGCAGCTCACATGGTAATCAGAAAGCGGAGAGAGCTAGTTGTTGATTTATTATGGTCATCTTCACAGCATAACTTCTAGATCTTCACTTGCCTATCCGTATTTTTCTAAAATTTTAACTCGGTTGTATTTAGTTTTGAATTTGTGGATATTTACTTGGAGTTTTTTTTTTTTTTTCCAGTGCTGTTTTAATGGTTCAGTGGTTGAAATGTGTGTTAACGGTTCATGCATCATACCTATCCACAGTAAGTCTTTTCTGAGTATCAATAGTTTGGTTTTGCTAAGCATTATAAAATTTGATAAATGCTGAACAGAACCATCTCTTATCTTTTTTCTTCACCTACTAAATGTTTCTTTTAGAGATTTTATTTTTTCCTAGGTGACTTTACATGAATCCTTTCTTAATTAAACTGTGTGACCCTTTTCCCTCCTGAATCTTAAAAGTAATATATAGTGTGTAAGAAGGCTTTTAAAAATACAGGAAGGAGAAATATTATATATTGATATATTAATCATGTTTTTCTCTACACAGTACTTGCTCAGCAAAATTGTTACATTGTGTGTATCCTTACCCTCCTCTTAAAAAACACTGCCAAGTTTTAAACCCTTCATATATGCTGATATGTCTGTCTTGCCTTGTCTTGGGAGGATAAAAATGATGTAAAATAACTAAACTGACATTTTTTGTTTTTGTTTTAAACCAGTTCACAATTTTTATTGCAGTGGTCGTTTTTGTGAGGGTGTTACATTGAAAGGTCTTATACAGAAATTGCCACCATATTCAATATCTTTAGTGTTTTAAGACTCACATGGTAAATATAAAATTCTTAAGATTAACAGTATACACTCAATGGAAAACAAAAAAGGCACTAATAGCTATTTCTTTTAAAAAGATCTTCAGGTGATAGGAATGAACGCTGAGGTTGTAGAATAAATTGATGACATAGTTAATGAAACTTAAAAAAAAGTGTTTTAATGCATAGTGTTATATTTGTGCTGCCATGTCTCAAAAGAAGGCTTGCCAAGGTAGGTGGAGTGTATGATGCTCCAGTGCCTTATGGAACTACAATCAAGTGCAACTATAAATAATACTGAAAAACGTTCACCATCTGATCACTGTATAATACTTTCAAGGCATTTAGTCTGCTTATCCTTTGCAGTATTCTAAGCCATTCACATTGGCCATCACATTTATTTTAGTGCTTGCCACTAAGGAGGCATAAAACCTGTTGTTTTGGCTAAAATGAGACAGTGGGTTCTATGTAAAAGTAACCATATTAAAGGTTCTAATGGCAATCACTGACAGTCTGCTTAAATGACTGGTATCTCCATCATTCACTGTGTTGCAAGGGCCCAGTGTGGAAAGGAAAAAACAACAAAATAAAACAAAACCAAAAACAAAAATAACTAATGCTTTTTCAATGGATTGAATTGGAGAAATTAAATCCCCTTAAGAGCCAGATGGCACTTAATGGGGTTAATATATGACAATTTTTATTTAAGTGAAATTACTGTGTGGCCTCCCAATTTCTTTCCAGATGTTGAATGGTTCTTAATATCATCCAAGCCATTTACTTGCCACTTGAGTTTAATACCTGTAAATTCTTTTTAATGGCATCTTTAGAGCTAGTATAAATCATCTTTTTAAGGGTACAGTTTCAAGATCCTAGAATATAAATAAAAGACTTTTTTATTGAACTGTTTTGTTTCATGTGTGGCAGTGTACAAAGCATACTGGCAATTATTCACATGCAGCAACTTCACAAAAGATGTGTAAGAGTCCTCTACAGTATCACCTGCCACCAAGATCTGCTTTGCCTCCTCTACAGTTATTTGTCTTTTTTTTAAATCACTTTAACAGAAGAGAACTGTTTTCTTTCTTTCTTTTTTTAATCTCCTTATATAGAAGATTTTCTTACTTTCATATCATTAAAAACTTTGATGAGGGGCTGGGGATGTGGCTCAAGCGGTAGCGGGCTCGCCTGGCATGCGTGCGGCCCGGGTTCGATCCTCAGTACCACATACCAACAAAGATGTTGTGTCCGCCGAGAACTAAAAAATAAATATTAAAAAAAAAAAAATTCTCTCTCTCTCCTCTCTCACTCTCTCTTTAAAAAAAAAAAAAAAACTTTGATGAGGGGCTGGGGTTGTGGCTCAGTGGTAGAGCGCTCACATCGCACATGTGAGGCTCTGGGTTCGATCCTCAGCACCATATAAAAATTAATAAAAATAAAATAAAGGTATTGTGTCTGACTATAACTAAAATAAAATATATATTAAAAAAAACTTTGATGACTCATCATTCACTGTTACTCCAGATGCCATAGTGTTTGAGGCTGTGATGTGTCAGCTGCTCCAGCTCTGTGGCTCTGGGAAGAGGAGGAGGGGCAGGCAGACAACAGCAAGTGCAGGGTATACCAGGAGCTCTAAACAGGCATTTTGCTAGAGTTGGCTGCCAGCTTTTCATTGGTATGTGAATTATATTATTTATTCAGATGGAAGAGAAGGAAGATAAAATCTTAATGTCAGAAAAAGTTTTTTTATTAGTTCTTTGTTATCTGTTTCATCAGTTATATTTTAAACTAGAAATAGAATTAAAATTATATACTCTGATTTGATTGTCTAGCACTTTAAAAATACACCTCCACCCCATTTTTTTGCAGTACTCAGAATTGAACCCAGTGCCTTGCACAACTAGGCAAGCACTGTACCACTGAGCCATATCTCCAGCCCACAGTATTTTTTTTCCCACATTTTCTCATAGTGATGAGATTTGTCGTTGCATATTTGTACATGCATACAATATAACATTATAATTTGGCTCAATAAATTTTCTTGAAAAGTTTTAGTGGATCACTGAAAATCCTTAATTGCTCTTTTCTCTTTTTGGACTGAATCCAGAGGCACTCTACCATTGAGCTACATTCATAGCCCTTTATTTTTTACTTTTTTTGTTTTTTTGAGACAGAGTCTCCCTAAGTTGCCTCGAACTTGCAGTCCTTCTGCCTTGGCCTCCTAAATCACTGGGGATTACAAGCATGCACCACTATTTCTGTCCAGCTCCTTAATTATTCTTTAAACTATAGCTCTTCCTTTCTTAACATAGTTTATACAACTCCTACATGTTCCCTCTTCCTTTTCTGTGTCTCAGATTCCTTTTGGCTTTAGTGATCTGAAACATTGAAAATTGTTAGATAACCTGCCTTGAGGTCAGCTGTGCATTCTTTGTGTGTCCAGGGAGAACTCTGCCAAAATGTTAAATAGGTGTACAGACAAGCAGTAGAGTGGATTAGATCTCCTAGCCTGCAGGAATCCTGGGGAGGTGAATTGAGGGCAGTGGTATGTGGAGTGGCTCTGTAGCATGGTGATCTGCATGTGATGATTAAAGCAAACATGATATATTTTAGAACCCTGGCTAGAATACTGGGTGATACTAAATCTCAGTTACTTGCTTAGAAGCAAGAGGCCCAGAGGCCTTGAAGTGAAATCTCTTCTGGAATCAACTACTGAAGTGAGCATCATAGATTAAAGATATATTTAAGTTTATTCTCTAAGCCAAAAACTCTGTTAGCCATAGATGTTTAAGGCACTCTGATCCCCATCTTGGATCTCATAGTCTGAATGGGGGTACATAAATGGGAGATGATGATAAATTAAAATGTAATCATAGTAAACCTTGTGTTACTTATTTTTGTGCCTATCTGCTGTTTACAAACAGGAATGAAATACTATTTTATGCACAAGTGTCAGAAATAGGAGATTAAATAAAGGTTGATTATAGGAGAAAGTTAGGGTCCCTTTTCTATAGCTCTACATGGACAAAAGATTTTCTCCTTTAATGATTTATGGGATTCAATAATAGGAATGCTATTTGGTCAATTCTGTCTTCTCTTGTTCTGTCCTACTGGTCTCTGGGAGCTGGGAAAAACTCCCTCTAACTCACTGATTCTTTATGGTAAGGATAGATAATGTGCCGTCATTGGAGAATAAGAGTCAGAGGCGAGTCCCCTCTAGCCAGAGATGTGTCATAGAGAGAAATTATATACTTTGTACTGATTTTACCTAAAATAATTTATCAATACGAAGAACTTCCATCCTATAGTTTTGCCCTACCTGGTAGTTTTCTCCTTCCTAACCATGTATCATTATCATTATTATTTTTTTAGAGTTGTGTTTTTTTTTTTTTTTTGCTGCTGGGATATTGTGGGCCTTTTGTGAAGATTTGTGATGTTGCTTGGCTGTGTCCCCAGCAGCCACTGCCATTGGAAGTACTTGTTAGCAGATGCTTATGTAGTGGCTGAACGCTAAAGTGGAGCTGATCTGATCTGTATATTTCTCATCTTTGTATGTGATAATACCAAACAATCATTTTTCCCCCGCTAGTTGCCTGATCTGGTACACCAGCTGGGGACACTGTATCAGCTAATGGAAAGCAGAGTCAAAACTTTTCAGAAACTTTCACATCTTCATGGAAAGCTTATCCTTCTAATCACACAGGTGGGTAAATGAGAGTATTTCTAACCAACACTTTTGATTGTGATAGGAATGGAGTATAAATAAGATTGCTTACCTAATAAGCTGTTCATGGTGGCACATGCCTGTAATCCTAGCAACTTTCAAGGTGAAGGCAGGAGAATTAGAAGTTCAAGGGTTGGCTAAGTAACTTAGTTAGGCCCAAAGCAACTTAGATGATGTCTCAAAACAAAAATTAAAAAGGACTGCGGATGTAGCATAGTGATAAAGCACCCCTGGATTCAATCCCTGATTACACCCCCTTTTCCCCAAGGCGGTGGGGGGGAATTTTTTACCTGATATTTGAGGGCTACTTCATTTAGCTGGAAAACAGAATCCAGGCTTTACCTTGTAAATAATATCTATTTCACAGTTAGAAAGATTAGTTATACCCCCCTTTCAACTTATATTTAAATTGTTTCTCACTGGGATATTTCAGTTGTTAATATAGCTAGGTTGATAATGTTGTTATGAACAAGTTACAGGATTTTTCTGCAGTTAAATTTTTGGCAAAGAAACATACTCTAATCACCTCAGAGGTTTTCCCAACTTTTACAAAGTAATTCTTTTCTCCAGGTATTTGAAGGTGCTCCCCCCTCTCCCCCATTTGCTCCCCATTGTATTCAGACCATTCATTCTTATGGGAGGAGAATGAATAGGTGATGGTGGGAGATGGGTGTGGTAATGGTTGGGATAGATATGTACTTTGCTTAAAAATTCTACTTTTTCAGGTTACAGCGTCAGAGAAAACAAAGGGAATGACTTCCCCTGGACAGAAGGCAAAGTTGGTGTATGAAGAAGGTAAAGGTGGCAGGAGGGTAGAATCTTGAACTGAAATAGTGAAATGTTTTCTAGTGACTCAGTTTTCTTACTGTGTGAGAACATTCATATAAAGTCTTGCTTTGACAAAGCTCTCTTAAAATAGTCAAGTCTGTGGCAAAAAACTATGATAAAAGAAAAGGTACAAGTATGACACAGTGACAGAAAAGGTGTGGAATGGAAGAATCCTGAGTAAATTTTATGCCAGTACATGTGAAAATGTAGGTGAAACTAGTACTTCATTAGAAAACTTTAATGACCAAAATTGATTTAAAAATCTAAAATTGAGTTAATTAAAACCTCTTATAGGATAGGATACTAGGCCCAGAGGTTTATTTTTTGGTATTGGAGAATAAACCTGGGGGCACTCAACCACTAAATCCCCTTTTATGTTGCTGAGGCTTACTTTAAACTTGTGATCCTCCTACCTTCACCTTCCTAGCCACTGCATCACCGTGCACAACTCTTGCTTTCACACATTTTAAAGCCATAGTTCTCTAGCTTTTTGGTATTAAAATTCTTTTACTACTTTTTTTTTTTGTGTGTGTGCATTTGCAAAGTGTTTTATTCACATACATATGAATTCCCCCTTAAGATGATATAGACATGAAGAGACAGGTAGTTGACTCCATAGGTTCCTCATCTTATATTTGCTTCCTTTCTGTCTCCTTTAGTTGGAACCTCTAAATTTTGATGCAAGGTCCAAAGTTGGTTGAATTTTTTTTTCCCCATGGACACAACATCTCTATTTTATTTTTATGTGGTGCTGAGGATTGAACCCAGCGCCCCACGCTACCTCTTGAGCCACATCCCAAGCCCGGTTGAATTTTTTAAGTCAAACATTTTGTGGGAATCTATCAATGTAAATGTGTTTTCAGATGACATCACATCCAAAAATCACATTGTGCTTATTATTACATTAATGATGCTAAAATCAGTGACATTTTCTTCTCCATTTATTTCCCAAGGTGCTTAGAAAATAATATAGCTCTTCTACTGCTTATACATTTGAATATTTTTTCTCACAATCATATATTTAACATGTCAGTTAATATTTCCATAATTAATATTTTTATTATGGTTTTAAAAATGCTAATGCTTCCATTCTTCTCTGTTTATAAGCCAGCACTTTTGATATAATTTTTCTACATCCAGAGAAATCCAGGTTATTTGATGGTCCAGAAATGGCTTGTATTTTAAGTTGAGGGTTTGTAGGGGTTTGTGTACTTAGTCTTTTCTAATAGCATCTTGAAGGAATAGTATAAATAGATTGCAGTTTTATTCAGATAAGCTTATTAAATTAACATTTCTTGCATGAATGATAGATGAATAATAAGTATTACTAAAAGTAAGTTTAGGAATTTGGTGCTTCTTAGTTTTTAGGGACATGCTCTCTGCTTTGTTCACAAAATTAAAGCTGGATTTTCCCCCTCCCCACAGAGTCTTCTGAAGAGGAGTCTGATGATGAAGTAGCAGATAAGGATTCTGATGTGAGTTATTTGTTTCCTGGTACATAAATCTGCCTTTATAGCCTCATAGCTCCATGAGAATGAGCCTTTCATGATTGTTTTCTTTCCTTGACATATCTACCAGGATGACTGGGATGAAGATGAGGAACAGAAAGAAAGTGAAAAAGATGAGGACATTGATGAAGAGAATGAGGAGGAAGATGAAGATGCTGAAGAAAAAGAAGAAAATGGTGAGGACAGAGATGGGGCAAGTGAAAAAGAATTAAATGGAGATTCTGATTTAGATCCTGAAAATGAAAGTGAAGAGGAGTGAAGACAGAAGAGCAAGCCAGTCAGACTGTGAACCCTGACTCACCTTGCCCACTGCTGCGGAGTCCTCCTAGGGAGGGTTGTCCCCGTGCCAGGACGCCAAGGACCGCTGCACATTTCCACATTCACAGCGGCGATTCCCATGCCACCTTGCTGTCCTGAGTGCCCCAGACTTTTAACTGTGTAAATAAGAGTGTTTCATTCAAATGTTAATAAACTTTACACAGTAAATAGACACATTTTCTGCAATGTACTGACATGAGTGTCCAATATATGGTATATTTTTATAATATAATATCTTAATATGATTGGTTATGTCAGGAATTGACTTAAGTGAAGACAGACATATCCCACAGGGTTTCAGAAACTGGACGCTTGTGAATGAGTCAGCTCTTCTCTCAGGTTGGTATCCTTCATCAAATCCATATGTGAAGCAGCACAGTGAAAAGTTTTTAATTTGGTACATTTTAATAAAATATGAAGGAATAACTAAAAACTGGAGTTAAGAATTATTGTGATTAAAAAACAGAAACAAAAACCCTATTTACCAGTATCCCTAGCTTGTGTATTAACTGTGGTTATCTGACTCAAGTCTAACTGAAGTTTTGGAGTGCTTCCTCAGAACAACCACTTATTTTTTAAGCTGTCATGTGAAATATTTTTTTAAAACAAAACAGAAAATTATGATAATTAAAAAACTAAAGATTTAGCCATATTGAGAAATTTTCTTGGCTGCAGATTGCCTGTACAAAAATAATCAGTGTATATAGATTTAGAAGTGCTCATTACCCGTAACTTTTTAAAAAATTCACTCATAGCTGCTTTTAAAGAAGTTTTCATTTTTATTTAAATTACTAATGAATCAAAGAACTATTGTTTATTTTTTTCTCTTTGGTTTTAGATATTAATGATAACCTTGTTGGAATTTTTTTTCCAAAGAAAATATTTTTATAATTCAGTAAATTTAATGTTTTTTGTCCTTTTTCATTGCCAACTTGGCAGTGTTAGGGTATCTTTATCTTTAAAACAATAAATTCAACTCAAAAGATTTTTTATGTATTAATAAGTATTTTGGTGCACTACAAAAGCTTTTTCAGATTATTAGGAATTTGCTTTTTTTTTGTTTTTAAAGAATGAGCCAGTATTTAGGAAGGGCTGGGCAGATGGATTTATCTTTTCCCACCTGTGAATATGTAAAACAAATAATTATCTCTTGAGGGACTTTTTAACATCTGTGGCAGAACAGAGGTTTCTGTGCTCAGCTCGCAGAGCTGGAACCCTCAGCACCTCTTGGGAACACAGTTTGAGCTGCTGGTATGATATATAGTGGTATGTTTATCAATGGCAATTTAATATCATCTCTTTGTAAAGTGAATAAATACTCATCTTTACCCAGTGCTTGTCTTGTGGTATATGTAGAGGAATTCAGCCATGTGGTTGGGTTTATGGTATGAAGGTTTTTAAAAAGGGATTTTACTCCAGTAGCATTAATAGGTAAATGCTTTCAAGATTCGTTGTATAACCTAGAGTTTTTAAATGAAAGAATCAAGAATTTTGTCTTTAGTATTAGGTAAAGCTGGTAGTTTCTTGAAGCTGTCCCATGTGGCTGGGTTGTGACTGCAGTGACAATAAGGAAGAGGCACGTGTGCTGGTAGAACAGGTCCTGGGAGACACGTTTCCTTTACCCTAGTTTAGAAGTAAATGAGAACTATGTGATGAAATCTTACTCATTTATTGATTTGTGAGTTTTTTTGGTTTAGAAAAGTCCAGAGTTGATTTAGGCTTTTTAATCAAAATTTAATCAATTCTGGTAAATTTTGCTGTCTGGTCAATTCAGAAAATGTAGTGTTGTGTGTAGGTTTTTGTTTTGTTTTTTAAATGTTAGCCCTCTAACCAAGTCACCAATCCTATGTACATCATATTTAGTTGTCAAATTCTGATAATCCACAATATTCCCCCTCACTTGGTTGAAATTTAATGAGCTTGCATAAATTGTGTTGAACAGTGTACTGCATTCTGGATTTGTCTGTTTCCTTATGATTAGATTTCTGTTTTAATGTTTTGGGCAAGAATCTTTAAATAAGTGCTTGTGTTTGAAATGGATTTGTAGAAGTAAATTCCTTGGGTCTAGATGAGAATATTGAACAAATAAGTATGTTTTGGTATAAGTAGATGTGAAGGCTTCAGGTTTGGTGCCTGAAGGTCAGAACTGAGACCTGGAGAGTGCAACATTGGATGCGTTGACATTTGTCAGGTTCCTGTCTGGATTAATTCCCAAATTTGCCATTTATTCATCTTAGCAAATGCGTATTGATTGCTTTCTCTCTGCCTAGTATGATTTCATTGCTTGGTATTGCTGAACAATGGGGAAAAATAATACCTGCCAGTTGTGGTTTGGATAAGTGTCCCCAAAACATTGTCTTATTAAACACTTGGTCCCCAGAGTCACGTTCTTGGGAGGTGCTAGAACATTTAGGAAGTGGGTCCTAGTAGGAGGTAGCTGGGTTATTGGGTACAGGTCCTCAGATTATGGGACCTTGATCAGAAGAGACCTCTTGAGCTTTGCTTCCTGGCACATGAGGTGAGTAGTTTGCTCTGCCACAGGCTCACAGCATGATGTGCTGCCGTTGACAGAGGCTCAATAAATGGAGCCTTAGTTTTGGACTGGAACCTCCACATCTGTGAGCCAAAATAAAACTTTTCTTCTTATAAGTTAATTGCCTCAATTATTTAATGTTAGCAATGGAAAGCTGACTTAAAACGCTTCCTTTGAGGAACTGACACATTATCAGGGAGATCTTGGCAATAAGCAATATGTGATGAGTATGGAAATTTTAATGGTATGTAACATGATAATTGATATGGGGGAAGAAAAGCAGAGAAGGCGGTGGGTCATTGGGTTTGAGGAGTGCAGATTGCAGATTTAAGTGATCAGAGTAGGACTTACTGAGGAAGGATTTGAATGTAGACCTGGAGGAGGCCTGCGAGTTGGCTAAGTATGGTATCTAGGGGAAGGAGTCTTCTAGGCAGAGGAGATGGCTCCAGCAGAGGCCTTGGGGTCAGCATATGTTTTATTGTGTTGAAATGTGGAGAGGAGGTCAATATGGTGGATATTGAGAAAGGAAGAGTGTGTCTGAGGGATGAGATCAGAAAGTAAGTAGTTGCATAGGGCCTTGCAGACTTGTAGGCACTGGTTTATGCTCAGAGAAATGTGGAATTGTGGCATTTGAGCAGAAAAGTCCAGCTTTTGTGTTGAGAATTCAGTATCCTATAATGAGAAAGGAAGAAGGACTGTTTTCCTAGTAGGCAGTACCAAATAGGATGCAGTAATCCAAGGGAACAATGAGGGTACTAAATTGGACTATCAGTAGTGGAGCTGGTGATGGTGTACTTTCAGTCAAGATTGTTTTGAAATTAGGGCTAATGGGGTTTCTTGTGAAGTGTGAGAAAGAGAGGTGTCAGGTAGCACTCCAGGGTGAGGAGTGCTTCTTGCTAGAGTACCTGCATGCTGATGTGGGTGGGAGCAGGTTTGATGGGAGAGGGACAAGTTGGACATGTTAGGTTGTTGAGATCTATTATTCCTGGGGAGAGAAGGTGGGATGGAGGCAGAAATTTGAGCAAGTATGAGCTTCCCAAGGGAGTCATGTAAACAGGAGCTTTGAGGCCTGGTGCTCCATTGCTGCAGGAAGAAGAGAAACCCCAGAGGACACCACGTGCACAGTGAAGTAGGAGGAATTGACATTGTTTCTTCAATTCCCTTCAAATTTGAATTCATGGCATCACTCAGCTGCAGTTTCTTTTTATTGATATGATTACTGGTGAAGTCCCCGCAGCTGCAGTGGTTTTTATGTTGCTCTTTATATGACTATTTGTTGATCCTTTCTTTGAAGGTAACTCAGGCATAAAATTCTATTTTTCTTTTACTCCAGTGTAGTTGTCTTGACTTTTGTAGCACCTCAGCACTGTTTCTTGTGCTGACGAAATTGTACACTAGATCACAAAGCAGTTGCAGAATGAGAGACCACAGCAGTGCAACTGGATTAGCATGTTTTATTCAAATTGGGGAAACTGAAAAAGAATCAGAGGCTAGAGACTGCAGTCTTTATAAGGTGCTGACTAAATTGACTGACTGCTCAGCATTGTGGATTTACATGTATAAATGAGTTACATTTAATATGAAAATATTCCTGAGAACAGAGTAATTATAAATCTGTGTAGAGGACCATGCAAAATGATGTTTGCTTGAATGTAGTATGTTAACTTCACATGTCAAATGAGGGATGTCAAAAACACTGAAGTTGAAAATTAACTACATTGAGTTGCATGGCATATTTTAGGCAATAATGGCTCGAAGGGGGAGGAAATTTTGTATGTTTTGGGCGCTAAAGTTTAAAAAGGATTTTTGTTGTTGTTTGGTGGTGCTGGGTATTGAACCCAAGGCCTTGTGCATTAAAAAGGATTCTTTAATAGAAATAAATAGGTAAGGAAAGCCTTTGGTTTCAGGCTTGCCCTGTTGTGGTCCAGGTTGCTCCAGTGAGATTCCTCCCTCCTGGGCTGGTGGGGGAGAGTGGAACACGAGTGCCTAGCACAAGCAGCCTGTGTGGTCATGTGTTCTGAAGCTGGGCAAAAGCTTTGCAGCTTCTTAAAGCTCATGAGTGGAGTTGATCAGTTTTACACAGCAGAGTCATTACAGGCTTCCAAGAAAAAATGGAGTTTCCATGATGTGTGTAAATTGTGAGGAAATCATCTCAGGTAGAGTAGCCTCTTGTGGGGTGGTAACTTGTTTTCATTCTAAACAGGAAAGTTACACACTAACCCAGTTTTAAAATCAGAAGATTGTTTTTGAGCCAGAGTTAAGAAGTGAACTGGGCAGTCTTCATGGCTGGTGAGCCTGCCAGTGTTGGCAGGGTTTGTTTGACGTCCTGGCCTTGCCCCGTGCTGAACTAGGACCTCTCACTCAAATCACGCTTCCTGTTCTACTCTTTTTTTTTTTTTTTTGGTACCAGGGATTGAACCCAGGGGCTTTTAACCACTGAGCCACATTTCCAGTTATCTCCCCCAGCCCCACTTTTAAATTATTTTTTAATTTAGAGACAGGGTCTAGTTAAGTTGCTGAGGATGGTTTTGGGCTCGTGATACTCCTGCTTCAGCCTTCTGAGCCACTGGGATTACCAGAGTGCACCACCACACCTAGCCTATTAACTTTTGTTAACAGAATGGTGACTGACTGGAATTTGGCACCACTTAAAGCTGCTGGTTAGGGGATAGTTTGCTGGTGACTGAGGGTCCACACAGAACATGGGGTTATACCTAAGGAACAAACTTCACTGGATTCCAGTGAAGTCTGATCACGTTAATTATTTCTCAGTTTGGAAGTTTTCCATTTATTGCTGTAAAATACACATAATAATTAACATTTTAACCATTTAGGTGTACCATTATGTCATTTTGCACAGTCATATTGTGCACTGAATTGGTCTCTTTCATTTGTAACTT